TATATATATATATATATATATATATATATATATATATATAATCACAGCTCAAGTTGCCATTCAGCCATCTCTAATTTAACAGTGATAGACTAGAGGGAAGGCAGCTAGTCAACACCAACCACCACCAACTCTTGGGCTACTTTTTTTACCAACGAATAGTGGGACTGACCGTCACATTATAAAGACCCCACAGCTGAAAGGGCAAGCATGTTCGGTGACAGGGATTCAAACCTAAAACCTACAGATTGTGAATTGAGTGCCCTAACAGCCAGGCCCCGTCAGGCCATCTGGAACTTGAAACTGATAAACTTTGGGCAGTTTTATGTGGGAATAACATTTCTTCATGGTAAAAAATGATAACCCAAGTTTAAAACACGAGTATTTTGCCTCTTAAAAGATATGCATGAAATTATTTTTTATTGTGCAGTCAGTTCCTTATTTTCTTATATACACGTAGTTTGAAAAAAAATTGAATAACATCACCAAAGTATAAATTTCTGTATGGTTTATGAATATGTATTACAAATTCCATAAAGTATTTGTATATATGGATTGATTTATTCATTTTTTTATGGATTATTTAACCAGCTAATAATAATAACAACATTTAAAAGTAAACAAATTATCACCGCTAGCTGTTTTTTTCTGCCAGCACTGTTGTATTCCGTGTAGCTGTATGTTGTTGAAGCGTCAGGATTTTTCTCATGTAACGTATTACACTCGAAACGTTTGATACCTGTACTGCAATACTTATCCATAGGCTTTACAAAGGCTTTACAAAGAGCGTTTGCTCGAAATGTCGCCCATTTCGTGATATCCCCCACTTATTTTAGTTTTAACTTTTATAAATTATACACCTATCCACACATACACGTCGTTCATTCGCTAAGAATATCACGCAAACAACACTACATCCTCATGACACTGACAGTGAAATATTTGCTATTACTACTAAGTACTATACTACTTGAAGTTACTAGTATCACTATAATATAAAAGTAATAGTAATAACGCCTGTAACTTCAACACTGACAACAGTATTTCACTTTAGGACTACTCTACAGTTGTACTTTACGAGTTAATATATTGATATCTACTCACCTCTAACGATTTAATGAGTTCTAACGATTGCTGTTTCTCCGATTCCTTACTCTGGCCTAAAACACGAACGTTTTCTTGACATTTAAGTAGTTCCGCTAGGGCTTCTGCGTGTTCCTTCTCCAACTCCTTCCGCTTCTCAGCGGCTTCGCGCATATGCTGAATCGGTAATATTTTAGAATAAATTCAACAACTTTGCATAAAAATAAGTATATGAATATCAAATAGTAATAGGAAAAACACGAGGTTTATAGTTAACAAGCGCTTTGAAATATAATTCAATCGTCGGTAACATTGGTTTTCAATAAATAACTCCGGTACTAGGCCTATAATTTTTAGTCGGAACAGTAGTACTAGTAGTAGTAGGTAATGTATTAATACACACACACAATATTTAAACGATGTAATGCTCTCCCGACGGTACTTCAACGTTTTCATAAAAAAAAATGTTTTAATTTTATATGAAGTTTATAAACTTTAATATCCTAAAAAACAAAAAAAATTCACAATTAAAAGCACGAGTTTCCTTGTGATTAAATTAATTGGTTATTATATTTGTTAAAATTTATCATGTTGTGATTTACAAAAATAAAAAACAAACAAAACAATTCCTACAACTCAAGGATACCAAAAAGCCGTATTTCGTAACCACTGGTGCGCTCCTCGGCGGCGGTCCGTTACACTTAGAACAAAAAACTGAAAGAATATTTATATAAAAATTGTAATGGTTTTTCGTTATGCTTGCATTTTAGCCGTCCGCAACAATTTAGGAAGGCAGCGAAAACCGGCCCCTGGTATCGAAAAGGTTGAGAAACGCTGCCTTAACGGACTTGTTCGTAACAAAAATTCAATAACCTAATTAATCTTAATGCATATATAAATGAAATATATAAATTAAATTATTTTCTGTTATTGTACTTGAGCGAAATAATAACTTAATGTAATTTCAAAATTTTCACAAAAGGTACAATTAAATTTGGCTATGCTCGATTTGGAGCTCTTTTCTGGGCTTGTTATGAATTTCGCGCAAAGCTACACGAGGTGTATCTGCGCTAGCCATCCCTAATTTAGCAGTGAAAGACTAGACTCTTGGGCTACTCTTTTACCAACGAATAGTGGGATTGACTGTCACATATTAACCCCCCCCCCCCGAGCTTTATGGATGGGTATATTTGGTGGGACGGGGATTCGAACTCGAGACCCGTAAATTGTGAGTCGAGCGTCCTAACCACCTAGTCATGCCAGGCCCGAGCTCTTTTATATTAAAGTAACTTTTATTTTATTACAAGTTGCAGCTTCTACAAGAAGCACAAACAGTTTTGAAAACAGGTACCACGTTTCGATCACTGGTGCGATCATTCTCAAAAACTATTATCCGAAAACAAAGAAACAATCTACCTCGTAACTTATTTTTGTTGAAAATTCTTTGATTTCTAATGTTGGAATTTTCAACCTGAAACGGCACCTTATGTGCACGTGGATTAAACGGTCAGGTCAAAGAACTCTGTGATTAAGGCATCTCCATTCCTAATTTTGAACTACTGACCAAAAGGAACGTAGCCAGTTAGAAGCGCCCTCGGCCACAAGAGCTTTGTCCTTCCGGCTCTTTGAACCAATCAAACTGCTACTTTTATAGCGCCCTCGGATCTAAAAGTGTGGGCGTCTTCGGTGGCATCACGTCTCGAACTTCAGATCTTTCGATCCGCAACTCAACATTCTAACCACTAGATCACGTCTATCCAAAGATTTCTGAATGTGCTTCTTTATGACCGTAAGTGGAAATATACTGTAACTAACCAAAGGCTTGTAAACACACAAACACTTAGTTAAGGCGATCACAGTTCAGTCTTGAAATAGAAAACAACAACAACAAAAAGAACAGATATAATAAGCCTTGATGGTTAAAAAACAGAGATCCTCACAAAAAATCTTCCACAGGGCCTAACAGTGGTGTATTTTCGATACCTCACTACTATAAAGGGGTGTCCAGGGTAACACTGATGAGGAGTGGAATTCACCGAAACTAGTCTGGCTCACAGACACACCCTCAATGAAAGATTAGACCATTCCAAGCTTTTACTTGTTGTTAAACAATGTTTAAACAACTCTATTCAATTAGGTCCTAACAGAATTTATGGGCAGAGCTATTTCTAAACTTGAATAGGAGACAAGGCAAGGCCCCATCACTTAAAGCAGTGGATCATTAAAACATATTAGTTACCTTCACAAGGGTCTCCAGGTTGCTAACTTTTTCCTGCAGACAGGCTATGTCACACTGAGCTTTCCTGTATTTACAATGTGATTCTTCCAAGGAGATCTTCAGTTGATAACATTCCTGGTTTGTCAAATATTGAAAATAAACAATTCAGATTTAGATGGTATTAAAATGAACTCTTCGGATGTCAAAATGAACAAACAAAAATGGAATTAATAAGCTAGTATAAAAGTTTCGTGACTTCATAAATATGTTTATTAATATCAACTACAAGATTACTCAAATCTGACAGAAAAAATAAAAGATTATTGCTGTTGTTTTGGCGCAAAATTATACAATGGGCTATCAGATAGCCGCTATCTGCGCTCTTTCCACCGCGAAGAACCTAACCCTAACTTTTTGCATTGTAAGTTTATAAACTTAACACTAACCCATTGGGAGGACAAGAGAGTGTTATGAAATAAATAAAAGGAATTCTTCACAGAAGACTCAATTTGTGGCTACTTTAATAATTTTCTTTAACCTCTGATAAACATGTGACACGTTTTCTGAAATGCAAATGGATACCTACATCATGTGTAATTTATCAAATAAAACTATAGAGCTGAGGAAAACAGAAATATTTCATTTATTACGACCATTGTTTCGCTGGTAAAGACTTCATCAGATCTTTATTTTCTTCAATTCTGTAATTATGGACTTTTCATCAAATACTAACGGTTTCAAGTATTCATTATATATAAGACAAGCTGAAATTCCCGTCAACTGACGGAGAATGTTTAACTTTAATTAAAACAATGTAAGTTTAACAGCAATCATATATTTCAAAGTAATAACTTGATCATAAACTTTATCTCAAAATTTTAAAACTTTAACAAAGCTTCTTCATAAACAACGTTTGCAGCTTGCTTTCCATCTACCAACAAATAAATATTTTGAGGTGATTCAACTCATGAACACCATACATCTCATTGATCATGAGAAAAGCATAGTTGTTTGAGAAACAGTCCAGCAACTTTCATACTTTGACCTTGAATCCTTTTAGAATATTCAACATTGTCTAAAGCGTCAACCTGCCAGGATTGTTTGAGATTGACTCAATAGGCTGGGAGTAATTAACCAATAGGCTTTACAAAAATAGAAATAGGGTTAAGTTCAATTTTGATCCCCTTAGGACATTCCCCATAGTTCATGGTGTTTACATACAAATTTTGGTTGAGATTGGTCCAATAGACTAGGAAGAGTTAGGGTGGAATCAAACACATATTTCGTCTTTATACAGAGAGATTACAGTTTCCCACACAGTTCTTAAAATGAAATATACTTGTGTCGAGGAAAAGCTTTTTTTAAAGAATTAAAATTGAAAACAACATTCTACAAGGATCAGGTGAAAAGCAGTTTTGTTTTCTGCGTCATTTTCAGTTTTAATAAAAAAACACACTATAATGAAATGCTTCAAGTTTTATGTTTAATTTCAAAGTATGGACAATTTTTGTAGAAACCCACAGAGGTGGATTCAGTTCGTTGGAAAATATCATACTGTAAAAACTACATTCATTTTATGTAAATATGTTACTTGAATACGATATATAACAAATCTTATGTTATATTACACAGTTTCCCTTTAGCTATGTAGTATATATATAAACATAATACGAAAGGAGAATCCGTGTAACATTACACAATATGTATATATATCTAACATGACTTGCTCAAGATACCCTAACCATAATGATATCATAACAGACAGATTTTTTTTTTATAAATATTACAACATAATATCGACATATCAAAATTGATGAAATGAATGTTTTTTTTTAGAATTGTTTAATACAACGACACGAGATTGAGTGAACACACACTACTGTTTATCCCACTACCGCTTGGCTTGAAGAATAAATGGGAGATTGTAAACGCATCTTTTATCAAACAGAGTATAAATAAAAATAAGATTGTTATAACCACCTCTTTTTCAGTCTCTTTCATGTCTGCATCAACAATGTACAAGCCCCCCAGTAGCTCAGCGGTAAGTCTGCAGGGGTTTCGGTACTTGTTGATGGGCAGAGCACAGATAGCCCATTGTGTAGCAACATCTAAATCAAATCCCCCCTAGATACTCCATTTTTTTTTGGTAGCGAAGGTCGAGAAAAATCTTCACAGTTTCCTTAATATATCGTCGTTGTTTCACTATCTTTGGGGTTTTACGGACCCACCCAACATTAAGAAAGCTCTCACAGACTCCGACTCAACTACCTTTTGGTTTAAGGGCCTAAACTAATGGCGTTGTCGTCTTTAACGGTTTTAAACAGTTTCTTAACAACTTGATTCGCCGTAGTGATTAAGGTAGCATCTCTACACGTGACGGAACGAACCTAACAAAGATCTAATGAGAGTACTGGCGGCTAGACTCTATAGTTTAATGGATTTTCAAGGACCATTCCAAAGCTCTTTGCGGACCCTGGTTGAAGTCTTACAGCCTATAGTCTAGTAAGCCGAAGAAGAGTCTTTGATGGCCTGTGTTCCATGTGGAGTGACGGGAGCTGTAAGTACCTTAACTCGTGCACTTGAACTGCAGTAACAGACACACACTTTCTACAGAAGTGTCATCGTACACAGACGTTATAGAGCTATCTAGAAGGACTAACGTTCAGCTTTCTTCCATATAAACGAGAGTTTGTTTGTTACACAAAACTATGCAGTGTGCTCTCTGTGCCGTGCACACAACGGGCGTCGGAGCCCGGATTTTAGTGTTATAACCCTTCACACCTACCACTATGTCACTTTGGGGGATGGGAGCAAAAGAGAGAGAGGGGGGAAAGAAACCCTCCAGTGGTAACTAGTAGTAAAGAGAAAATATACTCAGTTATATGCGAAGAATCACACTGTTATTAGGGGAAGATATCCTTGGTTGTGCATAAGGATCCATCATTGCTATTATGGGAGGTGTAATCGGTTGTGTATGATAATCTATCACTATTAATAGCGAAGATATCCATGGTTTTACACGGGGATCCATCATTGCTATTATGGGAGATATATTCGATAACACCAACACACTATATATATATAAACATATCAACACACACCTACTTCAAATGTACATGTTGAACACCAACACACTACATATATGTTGTGTTCAACATGTACATTTGAAGTAGGTGTGTGTTGATATGGTTTATAGATGTAGTGTGTTGTGTTCAACATGTACATTTGAAGTAGGTGTGTGTTGATATGGTTTACACTACATCTATAAACCATATCAACACACACCTACTTCAAATGTACATGTTGAACACAACACACTACATATATAAACCATATCAACACACACCTACTTCAAATGTACATGATGAACACAACACACTATATATATAAACCATATCAACACACACCTACTTCAAATGTACATGTTGAACACAACACACTACATCTATAAACCATATCAACACACACCTACTTCAAATGTACATGTTGAACACAACACACTATATATATAAAACCATATCAACACACACCTACTTCAAATGTACATGATGAACACAACACACTATATATATAAACAGGCCATTTACCCACCCCCTTTTTAATAAAGGGCCCCTACCCCACTTTCAACAGAAATAGGGAGAATTTTTTAACGAAACTTGTAACAATAACGCACTTTTTTGTTCTTGAGACAGTACGCGAACATGTTAGATCTTTCAGCCGTTGGGGCGTTATAACGTGATGGTCAATCCCACTAATCGTTTGCGCAAAATACAAAAAACAAACTTGTTTCGAAAGATAGTGTCGTGCCCGCCATGGCTAGGTGGTTAGGGCACTCGACTCGCAATCTGAGGGTCGCGGGTTCGAATCCCCGTCACACCAAACATGCTCGCCCTTTCAGCCGTGGGGGCGTCATAATGTAACGGTCAATCCCACTATTCGTTGGTAAAAGAGTAGCCCAAGAGTTGGCGGTGGGTGGTGATGACTAGCTGCTTACACTGCTAAATTAGGGACGGCTAGCGCAGATAGCCCTGGTGTAGCTTTGCGCGAAATTCAAAAAACAAACAAATAGTGACGCTTATTTTTAACGCATATTTCTCTCGTGAGACTTTGCAAGACTAGAGTCCACATGAAAATGAGTGTGATTTTCTATTTAAAGTAGACATCTGAAGAGCAAGGAGAGTTTTTAAAACAGTCAAGTATCAAACTCCAAGATTCTCCCATTAACTTGTTACCAAGAGTTTAAATTAATTTCAACCTTCCTTGATTATCTCACTCACCAATCACGTGGAAAACAACACGAGGCATGCATACCGAAACACTAACGACAAAACTAGAGAAGGTTTTGTTCGAAACACTGACAGTAATATGCCTGTCTTTAATTGAATTCTTAAACTGGCCGTGGATTGATTATGTAACTTCATATCTTTGCTGTTTGTGAACATTCCGAAGTAAGTACGTACGCTGATTAGATTTAAACGCATGCACGTTTCGAAAGTTTGGGTAGGCCTAAGAATAAAATATTCACTATCTTTTTTTTCTTACTGTGTTTAAATATTACGTAAAAGATCAATACTTTAATCAGTCTCTGTAAAAAAAACAAATAAAACTATGCATCTGTCTGTAAATATATTTTAAAGGTTTCTTTTCTTTTTAACCAGAGGTCACTGAGAGGTGAAATTGAAAAGAGAATTTGTGACGTAGAGGCCTAATGTATTCTTTGAATATTAGAATTTACGTATAAATAATCAGAAAATATTCCTAGATTCTATGAATAATTTAAGATTTTCTTTTTACAAGTAACGTCACAGTTCACTTTGAGAACGATCCTGAAGTATAGGTTTAGAAAAACGAATACTGAAAAACATTTATATTTATAATATGAATTCCACGCGCTGAATTCTGCCACGCTCGTGAGGATCTGCCCCCCCCCCCAAAATACAGTTTGAAAATAATTTGAGATTTGATCATAATTAACGTTTAAGTCCGGTTTATTTTTTTGCTGCTTTCTTTTGAAACGCCCCCCAGTGACACAGAGGTATGTCTGTGGACTTACAACGCTAGAATCCGGGTTTCGATACCCGTGGTGGACAGAGCACAGATAGCCCATTGTGTAGCTTTGTGCTTAATTACAAACAAAACAAGATTCCTTTGAAACAAATTAAAAACGCGTGGTAGAAACTAAAGACTTCTACATTTCAAAACAGATGTTAAAGCGTCAGAAATAAATTGGTGTCTTATATATTTATACGCAGTGACCTTGGTTTATCATACTGTTACCATTACGTTCGTATCTATATAAAGTTGTAACATTCTCTCAGCTCAGTCACTGTTCCCGCGTGGTTGCCTTTGTATACACATTTACAGAGAAAGTCAATTTCAGACCACCTAGCGAGATGAAAGTATAACTATGTTTTCTCGCCAGTCTTTACAAAAAAAGACAGGAATGAACGGAATCAGGAAATGAATTATTACTTTTTTATATGCAATAGCTTAAAGCAAAGTGACTTTATTTGTGTATTACCAAATAGTTACTCGAAAATATAAACATGGACACAACTATTCCCCCCGAACTGTTTTACAAAAAAATCTAAAACTTATTTGAGTCTGAAAATACATTCCTCTCTCTCTCTCTAACAAAAAAACAAAACAAAAAACAACAACACGAAATTTCTCAATCCTCGACCAAAACAAAAATCTGTTCACCACAAAAATTATAAAACTTATTTGAGTCTACAAATACACCCTCTCCCGAAAACACATGAATGTAATTATCCCCCCCCCCCCAAACAAAACAAAAATCTATTTTTACCACAAAAATTTTAAAATATTTTTTTGAGTCTGGAAATACATATTTTACAGCTATCATAAAATTATATTAATAAAAGTGATAAACTGCTTTGGACAGAAGGACCTACTGTCCTTGGATGAACTTCGTTGATTCTGAAACTTAATTCAAAACACGAAAGGAATTCCAACTTCTTAAATAAAAAACTTTTGAAACAAGAGAGAATCCTCAATAGCCGCGGCACTTGAACTTCTTTTAGGCAGGATTAGCGTAAATTAATGTATGAGACCTTTGTTTTACTTTTTATTAGCTATATTTTTGTGCGCCAGTAATACCAAGCGTGGGGCGCGCTTATGCCGGATTCGATTTTATTACTCTTCAGTATCTCTACCAGCCTACCCTCAAATTGAAATTCTTTTAGTCA